AAAAAAAAGAACTCCTACAACTCAGTAGCAGAAAACAAATAATGTAATTATATATATATATAATTTTTTTTTGAGGCGAGGTCTCACTCTGTTACCCAGGCTGGAATGTAGTGGCATGATCACCACTCACTACAGCCTCGACCTCCTGGGTTCAGGTGCTCCTTCCACCTCAGATTCCTGAGTAGCTGGGACAGATGAGCATTGCCATGCCCAGTTCAGGGCACACTTGGTGTAATTTTTAATGAAAAAAATCTGGTCGTTGCATTGGCTTGAGCCTGAAATCCCAGCACTTTGGGAGGTCAAGGTGAGGGAATTGCCTGAGCCCACAGGTTAGGGAACAGCCTGGGCAACTTGATGAGACCTTGTCTCTATAATAAATAAAAAATTAGCTGGGTGTGGTAGGATGCACCTATAGTTCTGGCTACTTGGAAGGCTGAGGCAGAAGGATCACCTGAGCCCAGCAAGTTGACACTGGCTTGTCCATGAGCATGTCACTGCACTCTAGCCAGGGTGATGGAGTGAGACTCCACCTCAAAAAAAATTTTTTGTTTTTTTCGTAGACACGAGGTACTGCTATGTTACCTAGGCTGGTCTCAAACTCCTAAACTCCAGAGATCCTCCTGCCTCGACCTCCCAAAGTGTTGACATTACCGGTGTGAGCCATCACGCCTGGCTTGGGCAAAGGATTTGAGCAGACATTTCTCCCAAGAAGAATACAGATGATCAGCAGATATATAAGATGACATTCAAAATCACTAATTATCAGGGAAATGCAAATCAAAACCACAATAAAATATTACTTCACAACCATCAGGCCATCATAAAAAAGAAAATACAAACAACAGACAAAAAGCATTAGTGAGGATGTGGAGAAACTGGAATGCTTGTACACTGTTGAAAGGAATGCAAAATAGCACAGCTGCTATTTAAAATAATATAAAAGTTTCTCCAAAAATTAAAAATAGAGCTACCATAGGATCCAGAAACCCCACTTCTGTTATATATCAAAAAAAGATGAAAACAGGATCTTGTAGACATACCCATGTTCACTGCAGCATTATTCATAAGAGTCAATGTGTGGAAATAACCTAAATGTCCATTGACTGGTGAACGGATAGAGTAAAGGCAGCACATCTGTAGATTATAATATTATTCAGCCTTACCAAACAAAGAAATCCTGTCATTTGTGACAACATAGATGAACTGAGGTCATGATGCTAAGTGAAATAGGCCAGTCACAGAAAGGCAAATACTACACATGATTCTACGCATATGAAGTGTCTCAAGTAGCCAAACTCACAGAAGAAAAAAGGTAGGAGCTGAAGGGAGGAGAAATGAGGAGTTGCTTTTCAAGAGGTATACAGTTTCAGTTGTGCAAGATTAAAAATTTTTGAGGATGTGCTGTACAACAATGTGTATTTCATTAACAATATTAAAAATGTCGTTAAGGGGTAGATTTTGTGTTATGTCTATGAGTTTGCCACAAATTTAAAAAAAAAAGGATCCCTGGATATTGGATATGAAGGGTTTGAAAACAAATAGATTCTTACTGGTTTCTGACGGTTCACACAGAATCTTGCTTGTAGACTAGGGAGGAGCATTTAGGTAACTTCTCCAGTCCCTTCCAGCACTTCCCTTTCTATGGATGCAGTTGTTAGTTTACAATATACTGTGATATCCCACCAAACTGACGGACTGGAGTCCAAGTTGATGAGGCAGGCACAATGTCCCATCTACCCCGTACCCTGGTAAACACCCCCGCCTCACTCTTCGATGTGGTTTAATCACAAGACCCAACAGTGAAGGATGCAGTGGGAGAACTGGAGCCTAGCCCAGTACTACAGTGAAATCTCCTTTGATTCTCAGGAGAAATAAAAGAAATAGAAAAAGTAAAACCACGGTAGAGGGCTATTAAGGGAGAAAACATTTGTCACTGTGGACAGAATAAAAATACCACCAAATGAAATAAATGCCTGTGGGAAAATATGTGTCATGCCAGAAAGTACTGTGTTCCGTCTTTGCTCTTCATTTAGTTTTCATCCACTCAGTGTACCAAGCCTTACCCTACACCCTGTTTCTTTTTCCAGCTATGAAAGATGCATGAACTGCATCTAGCCTTGGTTGTCTTTGTCAGAAAGGATCTTCAAAAATAAAAGTGTTTTACTTGATACTATCTCAATGGTAAACATGTACTTCCAAAATGAAATGCTTGTTCTGTTAGCAAGCTTCTTCCTTCACTAAGCAACAGTATTGTTAGTAATTTTTCAAACTGTTAATACACATACACACACAAAACCAAAAAAGCAAAACAAAAATACCCTATTCTATCATTTATAAATCATAGGCTGAGTATCCCCTGGTAGAACTAAATAAAAACATTCTGGCCACTGATTTTGATTTTTAAAAGGTCATAATGATAATACTAGTCAATATTAACAAACAGTTTTGATTTGCGATGTTTCAAAATATAATTTATCCAATACATCTTAAATAACTGAAAGTACTTAACAAAACCTGATATAGTTAGACACTTGATATCAATTTATTGAATTTAGAGGTTTAGAATTTATGAACACAGAAATAAAACTTGTTTTAAGCAATCTACAGTGTATTTTATTTCTAATATCCTTGCAACATCCCACAGAGTATACACAAGTGAGTATGAGAAAACATTTCTTTTCATTTACATCTATCTTTCAATGAAATTAAAGGATTACAATCTGTGTAAAATCTACTTCCAGAGTTCTAATTAAAATAGAGTACGACGATTATCTATTTAACAAATATCCCTCAAAATTAACATCTTCATTGAAAAATGGAAAAAGTAACACAAACCTCAAAACTGCCAGCAGCTCAGAAAGCAAGTGTGTTCTCTGGGACTTGATTAAAACAATATATTCATAAAAGTCTCTTAAATGAAAGGTGTTCACAAAGGAAGTCGCATGGAAGACAGCGTGTTTCTGACATACCAGAGGTTTCTAGAAGCAAAGAAAAGCACACCATTAGGAAACGTCCAAAATATCAGTACTGACTGTCCCAGCCATTGTGGTCAGAAAGTGCTCTTTTACCACCTGCAGATATTATTAGCAGATGTCATTAATTTTTATTAATTTTGTGCCTCAAATTTTCTTAATCATAAATGGCTGGGTGGACAGTAACCTTTAAGCACTGTATTAGAAGTTTCTAAAGGTCAGGAGTATATTATAACTAAGTAAAGTTCGGCTTTTCCTCTTATCTAACCAGGAAGGCATTGAAGAACTGAAGGCAGGGAAGAGCACAAAGCAGGAACAGTACTCACTGAGAGCCTACCATGTGCAAGGCATTGTTCAGGGGCTTGGTAAACACAGGGTCTTTCTTTCATCTGAACAGCCCTGCAATTGGAAATAGCTCCATTTTACATATGAAAAAACATGCACAGATTCCTGAGCTCAGGCTTAGAACCCGCATCTATCAAAGCCCGGAAGTCTCAAGGTAAGTACTTTTCCTCATTTCATTCTGTGGTTTAGGTGATTTAGAAAAGTATTTCACAAACAGGATTGAAAAGACCACAGATTGCCGGGCTCGGTGGCTCAGCCTGTAATCCCGTGCCTTTGGGAGGCTGAGGTGAGTGGATTGCCTGAGCCCGCGGGTTCGAGACCCGCCTGGGCAGCGAGACCTCATCTCTACAATAAATCAAAAAAATCAGCCGGGCGCGGTAGCGCATGCCTGTAATTCCGGCTACTTGGAAGGCTGAGGCGGAAGGATCACCGGAACCCAATAGGTCGAGGCACAGGAAGGTACCTCCGAAAGGCTAAAAAATGATGAAGGCAGGAAGGTCATGCATTATTTTTAAGAATTTTAGTGTATATATTTTTGGCAACAGAAGTTTGAGTCGCGAATAAGGAAACAGGAGAAATGACTGACAGTATTTTCAAAATCTACAGAACTGAAGCCTAGGATTATTACACGGGGAAAAAAGAAAGAAGAACAGAACAAAACAGAGCTGTTTTATCTTTGCACAAAAGGAGAGAGGAGAGCTTGACAAAAGCTGGGGAAAATATTTGGACCACAGAATCTAAGCTAAGTGATAGGAATGCAAAACGAGTAGAAACTCTTCTTAAAACCTCATATGCTAGCATTCTGACTTCTTCATACCACTCAAAAACAAAGTCTGGGGATAAATGCCTAAGGTAGCTGGCACGTTTTTCATAAAATCCCAATGGCAATTTTCATGCATTCACTCAGTCACTATTTATTGAACACTTATGAGTCAGTCAATAAGTTGGAAAATTCCAGGAACAGTGAAATAAGCAAGGCAGTCTTTAGTCAAGCATCTTACTGTCTTATAGAAGGATACAACTAGAATGTCAACAACTGTAAGAAGGTGGCACCAGTAAATATTTTCAAGAAAATGGTCTGAAACCAGACTGCTTGGAGTATTTCCACTGTATCACTGGCTGCATGACCTTGTGCAAGGCACTCAAACTCTATGACCTCAGCCTCCCTATCTGCACCAAGTACTTCCCTTGAAGGTTGTTTTGAGGATTAGGTAAGATGACCCATATAAATAAAGTACTTGGAGCATGGGGTGGCACATAGAAATAACACATCAGATGCTAGGAAATACTAGTAGTATTGTTGTATAACAGAGGTCAGTGAGGGAAAAAGCACTCTGAAGTTTCAGAGGAGTCAGTAATCCTCTGTTGGAGATGAAGGGAATCAAAAAGGCTTCAGCGAGGAAGACAGCATTTAAGAACTAAACAAACACACATGATGAGGTTTTTACAGAAATCCTCTGATGATAATTGAAAGCCAGAAAATGAGGTACTTTTGAAAAAAAAAATTAGGTCAGTGAAATTGGACATTATTTTCCAGGACATTATTTTGATGTAAAAGTAGGTACCTAACATAACAACACAGCCAGGTAATGACACACAAAAGAAAACTATGTACTACTACCAAGAGAGTTATACTATCCCACAGCATCTTGTTCTATTCAACTGTAATCCAAAATGACACCAAGGCTTTTAATGGAGCTTGGCAAGCCCTAGACAGGCCAATTTTAAACTTAGCCTCGAATTTAAATCACAGGGCTGGAGACTCAAATCTCCAGAGTGACCTTTCCTGGGTATTGTTCAAGAAAACATGTCTGTCACTGTGGACAGAAACCATACGCCCTTTTACACTGGAAGGTAAAATAAAAAGATGGACTGTACTGTTGCAAGCACAGAGCCACAAGATAATGGAGGCTGCAATTCTCTGGAAGCAAGGAAAACAAAGACTCTGATTTTGTATCATTCATTTAAAAATGTTGTCTTATTGCATTAATAAACATTCCTGTTTCCCTCATATCTGGCCTTTATTTAATTCAAAGGAGGCTTGGTAGAAATCCATCATCTATGGATTTAACATACAAGCCCTTCTGAATACATTCCTGTTTCAAGGGCTCACTGAGCCATGCTACTTTGTTGTTGCCAGACCCATACAATATTGCACTGATGAGAGGCGCTAAGGGCGCACAGTGGCTGAATTCTCCCATACTTTCCCCTGCTCTCTAGCCCAGGAAGGTCTGATTTAGGGGAGTTCTATGGTTTCAATGTGTCCCCTCCAAAATTCAAGAGCTGCCAGTTTGATAGTATTAAGAGATAAGAGCCTTTAAGAGGTGATTAGGCCATGAGGCACTCTTATGAGTGTAATTAAGGTTTTTACAAAAGGGGCTTAATCCAATGCTAGGTAACTGGCCCTTCTGCCTTCCATGTGAGGACACAGCATTCTTTTCCTTCAAAGGAACCATCTTAGAAGCAGAGAGCAGCCATCACCAGACAACTGAACCTGCTAGTGCCTTGATCATGAATCACCTTCCCAGCCTCCAGAATTGTGAGAAAAGAAATTCTACTCTTTATAAATTACCTGGTCTATGGTATTTTGTTATAGCAACACTAAAAAAAAAATAGAAATTGATACCAGAGGAATGGGGTGATGCTATAATAAATACTCAAAAATGTGGAAGCAGCTTTGGAACTGGGTAATGGTTTTGAAGTGAAAGCTGGAAAAAGCCTGTATTGTCATGAAAAGAGCCTGTATTGCCATGAACAGAGTATTAAAGAGTGATTCTGGTGAGAGCTCAGAAGAAGAGGAAAGCTGCAGAGAGGGCCTGATTTTCTTATAGATTACTTAAGTGGCCGTGAACAGAATGTTGAAAGAAATATGAACAGTGAAGACTATTCCGTTAAGGTCTCAGATGGAAATGAGGAATAAGATACTGGAAGCTGGAGAAGGGCTATCCATCTTTGTTAGAAAGTAGAAAAACTTGGCTGGATTATGTCATGCCCTAGGACTTTGTGGAAGGCAGAACTTAAGAGCAATGAACTAGAATATTTTCTGGAATAAATCTCTAAGTAGCAGAGCATTCAGGGTGCAGCATGGCTTCTCTTAACTGCTTATAGGAATATATGAGAAGAGAGAAATGATTTAAAGGCAGAGTTTATAAAACAGAAGTATAATGTAAAGACTTGTAAAATTCTCAGCCTGGCCATGCAGAGAATAGAAAAGTGGGTTTAGAAGAGAAAACCAAGGGTGTGGCCAAGTGACTGATAACAACATTAGTATGGCTAGAAGAAAGCAAGTGCTGTTCATCAAGACAATGGAATAACAATCCTCAAGATATCTCTGAGTTGTCTGAGGCTGCCTCTCCCATCACAGGCCCAGAATGCCAGGGCCTTGAGGGCAGAATAGTTTTGAGGAAGGGGGCCAGGGTACCCCATGGGACCTCAGGGCTCACTGCCCAGGGCCACCTCAAGTCTCTGCCCCCCCACCCCAATTCTGGCACAGCATTCCCCACCATCCCCAGCTGTGGTTCCAGTAGGCCCATGTGCAGCTCAGGCCACCACTCTGGAAGGTACAAGTTGTAAACCTTAGCAGCATCCATGTGGTGCTAACTCTGCAGATTTGTAGAGTATGAAAACTGGAGAGGCTACCTCCACCTAGATTGCAAAATATCTCAGACAGCCTGGGGCCTGGGCAGAGTTGCCACAGGGTTAGAGCCATAGCAGAGAGTCCCCATAGCAATGTCCAGTGGAACTGTGGAGTTGGGGCCACTGCACAGAGCCCCTACTAGAGCAACACCCAGCAGAACTGTGGGGTCAAGGCCACTGCAGAGAGGACACAGCGGGACAATGCTTAGTGGAGCTACGGGGACAGGTCCACCCCAAGACCCCATACTGTAGAGGCACAAGCATGCAACTCCAGCCTGGGAGAGTGGCAGGGACTGGACTCCAACCCATGAGAACTGCTACATGGGTTATGCCCAGCAAAACCATGGTGGTGGGATCCCTGGAGGCTTAAGGATCCAACGAAGTGTGTCTGGAAGGCAAGTTATGGAGTCAAGGGAGACACTTTCAAGCCTTAAGATTTAATGTTGTTTGCCCTGGTGAGTATTAGAGTTACTTGAGACCTAAGACCCTTTTCTTTCTCCCTTTTAGAATAGAAATGTCTCTTCTACATCTGTCCCACCATTGTATTTTGGTAGCACACAGCTTGTATAATTTCACAGGGTCACAGCAAAAGCAATTGCCTCAGGATAAACTATGCCTTGAATCTAAATATAGGATTCAGATGAAACACTACTTTAGACTTTTGAGTTGATGCTAGAACAAGTTTAGATTTTGTAATATTGGGGTAAAATGAATGTCTTTTGTGTATAAGGACATGAATTTAGGAGGGAGACCTGGAGCAGAATACTATGGTTTGAATGTGTCCCCTCTAAATTTCAGGTGTTGTCAATATGATAGTATTAAGAAGTGGGGCCTTTAAAATGTAATTAGGTTATGAAGGCTCATCCCATGAATGGAATTAAGGCCCTTACAAAAGACGTTTCATGCAGTATTTGAGTAACCTACTCTTTTGCCTTCTGTCAGGAAGGGGATACCTTTTTCTTTTCTGGAGGAACCATCTTGGAAGCAAAGAGCAGCCCTCACTTGAAAACTAAACCTGCTGGCGCCTTGA